TAACTTTTATAATGAATCATTTATTAAATAAATTCATACAATACAAAATTATATTGCTGTAAAAAGTAATGAACAAATGATTTTAGAAAACCATGTGGAATGAACAACAGACTTATAAAAATTACGAATTGATAAGATTTAAATAATTTTTAGATTATATTGAAAAACATTGATACAAAAATGAAAAAAATTTTTTCATTTTCATCTTCCTTAAATTTTTAAATGAAATCGAAAATTTATAAATGATTGGAAATGGTTAAGAAATTTCTACAAAAAAAATGAAAGTCAACATTTAGGTTTAGAATTTACCAATACATGTATTTAAAAAAAATAAAAAAAAAATACCAATACTGTTTCAAATATAAATAAGAAAAAAAGAGATGTTAATTGGAAAGAATGTCAAAAATAAGTAATTTTTTTTATTTAAATTTCTTGCCCAACTGAAAGTATCAAATTTTCAACAAGAATTAAAAAAAAAAATAATCATTGAAAGTGTATCTTAATGAAAGAAATTTTTAGTTTAAAAAAAAAAAAAAAAAAATGATGAAAAAAAAGAAATAAAAAATTTAAAGAAATATTAAAAAAGAATTTTCCAAAGTTAAAATAAATTTTTGCAACCTAATTCAAAGAAAATAGATAAGAATAAATGAAAACCAAATTTCCATAATAAATTCTAAATATTTATAAAGATTGAATTTAGAATTTAAATTTATTTTGAAAATAAGAAATAAATTTTACATCAAATTAGAAATTTCAAAAGATAAAAATCCATTTTCTTTAAAAGGGGCTAAGGACATAAAAGTTCATGCAAATCTAAATGAGACAAAAAAATTTGTTGTAAAATGGATGAACAAAAGAATAAAAATTTTCTAAAAAACAATGCTTTAAAAAATAATTTTTTTTTGTTTAAACTAAAAATGGAAGTGTTTATGAAATGAAAACAACAAAATTTTTTTTGGAAATAAAAAAATGATGAAATATTTGCTAAAAAGAAAAAAAAATTACAAAAAAAATCCCTTGAGTTTTATTAAAAATTTTAGCCAATTCAATAAATCTTATAAAAATCAAAATTTATTTTTAAAACAAATTTTTTTGGAAAAGAAATTAAAGTGCTACCTTATTTTTTTTTGAAAAGTAAATTCTCTTTTCCCTCTTTTTTCTAAAATGTGAAATTTCCTCCTTTTGTTAATTGAAATTTCCGTTTTTTCTCCTTTAAGGATTTAGAAAGAAAAATTTTTTATATAATAGAAAAAAGAAAGAAAGAATAGTTGGGAAAGAATTAAATAGATATATTTTTAAAAAGAAAGAATAAATGGAAAAAGAAAAAAAAAATATAAAAACAATGATTATAAGAAGAAAAAAGTTGGGAAAAAAAGAATAGTTGGAAAAGAAAGAAAAAAAAAAAAAAAAAAAAATATTTAAAAGAAATAAAATAAAAAATAATAGTTAAAAAGAAAGAAAGAAAGAAAAAAAAAATAATAGAAAAAAAGGAAAGAATATTTATCCTAAATAAAAGAAAGAAAAAAAAAAGAAAAATTTAGAAAGAAAAGAAAGAAAAGAAAAGAAAGTAAAGAAAAAAGAAAGAAAGAATAGTTGGAAAATCTTAAAATAAATAAAAATAAATTCTAAAGAAAGAATAGTTGGAAAAAAAAAGAAATAAAGAAATATCCTGTTAAAAAAGAAGATCCTAATAGTTGGGAAAACTTGTTGGAAAATATAAAGAAATCAAATTGAAAAAAGAGATTTTAAAATGGAAAAAAGAATAGTTGGAAAAAAAGAAAAAAGAAAGAAAAGTCAAAGAAACAGAAAGAAAGAAAAAAAAAATTGGAAAACTAGAAAAAAAAAAAAGAGATTTCTAATTGGGAAGAAATTGAATAGTTGGAAAACAAAGATAGAAGAGATTCAGTTGGGAAAAAAGAATAGTTGGAAAAAAAGAAAGAAAGAAAAGAAAGAAAGAAAGAAAGAAAATTTTGAAAAGCAAAGATAATTAGTTTTAAAGAAAAGAAAGAATAAACTGGAAAAAAAAGAAAGGTCTAGTTGGAAAAAAGAAAAGAAAGATAAAAAGTTGGGAAATTAAGAAAAATAGTTGGAAAAAGAAAGAAAAAAAAAAAAGAAAGAAAGAAAAAAAGAAAGATTTATAATAATTTGAAAAGAAAAATCA